TATATATAGTATATAGTATATAATATATATATATAATATATATATATATATATATATATATATATATATATATATATATATATATATATATATATATATATATATATATATATATATATATTTATATATATTTATATATATATATATAGAATATGCTCCTGCGAGAAGCGTTTATAAAAAAATTATACCTAAGTGGAGTGCATCTACAAATAGATTATGCCCCAATAGCATGCCTCTGTATATAGAAATTGCCCCATTCTATGGTGTTCTATTCAGTTATCAGCAGTGTATTGAGGACTGTGCGCATGTTGTTCAAGATACTATCTCCACCAGGGCTTATACTTGCGAATACAATACACACACCACACCGCCACATAAGAGTGAAGTAACGATCACCTTTCTCATTTGGGTTTTAGGGTTACCTTTCTCATTTGGGCCATGTTGTTCTCTTCCGACAGCAGCATCGCACACTCGTCAAACACCTTCTGCGCATCTTTACTAAGACTCATCCAGCTGTAGGTGTACGTATACGTATACGATTACAAATACGTATACATGCACGTATAGTGCATGTGAGTATGTACACTGTACAAAGTACGTAATCGACAAAACGTTAAACGGTAGTCCATAGACCATTGAACACTCGGGTCATTTACGTATCGCCACAATACTTTTAACCTCTCGAATCATCCCAAGTACATTCGCAGATAAGACTTACATCTGCTTGAGTCGATAGACAGACAAACAGTGCCACCCGATTAGATTACTTATTCCTAAATATTTAAAAACTTGATTTGAGTCGGTAGATATACCGAGGTAACCACGCAATTCATATACATATATCCCAAGAATTTAAAGCGTGCGTTTGCCTGAGTCCATAGAAAGACAAACAGTGCCACCCGATTAGTTTACGTATTCCTAGATATACCACGGTAACCACGCGATTCATATACGTATATCCCAAGAATTTAAAGCGTACGTTTGCCTGAGTCCATAGATAGACAAACAGTGTCCCCCGACTAGTTTACGTATTCCCAGACATTGAAAACCTCCTGCAAGTCGGTCGATACACCACTGTAACCACGCGATGCATATATATAATGCCCAGGAAGTGAACGCTTACGCTTGCTTGAGTCGGTACACTGGATGCACATACGTAATGCCCAGGAAGTGAACGTTTACGTTTGCTTGAGTCGGTACACTGGATGCACATACGTAATACCCAGGACGTTAACGCTTACGTTTGCTTGAGTCGGTACACTGGGGTGCTCTGCAGAGCGGCGAGTATGGCTTTGGCCGACGACAGATTGTGCAGCATCAGCAACTCCACCATGATGTCTATGAGGCGAATCATGGCCTTTAACCGAGCCACCGGGTGCATGCACTGCAGGGGGGATGGGGGGTAGATACACGGTACTATGTGTGAGGATATGGGGACGAGTACAAGGGAACATCCAATGGGAGAGATAGAGATACTGGGTGCATGCACTTCAGGGGGGATGGGGGGTAGAGTACACGGTACTATGTGTGAGGATATGGGGACGAGTATAAGGGAACATCCAATGGGAGAGATAGAGATACTGGGTGCATGCACTGCAGGGGTGATGGGGGGTAGATACACGGTACTATGTGTGAGGATATGGGGACGAGTATAAGGAGTGCATGCCTGGCACTCCCACAAGTGTGTCTGTGGCATACTGAAGTATTTGCGGATGGCTGGTAGTAGTATGATCAATTGTTCTCCTGTGTGGATATAATGGTCTACAAGAGGTCCACCTACATCTACGCCGTACTAACATCCAGCTCGTTGATATATATCGCGGAGTTCTCACTAAATAAAAAACAGAACCACGCGAATCAGAGCATGGATTGAGTCTTACTTGGTACAGTACACGCCATGGCCCACTCGGCAGCTTCACTGAAAACAGGACAAATATATTAATAGGATACGGATTGAGCACTACCTGTACAATGTAGACCACGACTTCCACTAAATAAGTTATAACTCAACATGTGCATACGTTTGGAGACCTACCTACACAATACAAGTCACGGATGGCCCCACTGAAAACGTTCTAACGTAACATACGCATGATGTTTGCGGAATAGTCATACCTGTACTATGCAGGTCATGGCAAACTCAGCCACTTCGTTGAAAAACGCAATGGTTGTGAGCACTGTGGGTGCTCTGGTGGCCTTGTCCTTCTTCTGCCATGCTGTGTCCATGCACTCGTGCATCATCAATCTGCAGCCATGACGCGAAGGATTAAGCACGCAGAGGTACATGTAGTGGTTATAAATACGGGTACAGCGTATACACGCAGAGGTAGACGCAGTGGTTATGACAGCGTACAGCGTATAGTAAGTTTGAAGAATTCGACCTGCCACTAGATACGTATCGTTGTGGATAGCTCCTCGGCCGGAGTTCGGGAACGATGCGGATTCAGATCAACTGCACTTACGTATATTAATATGAAGATATACTACAGTACCGCTACACGGCCAACTTAACTTTAAAGAGCGCACGTCAAAGGCCATGGTCGGATCAGCTGTGCGATGAGGTGGGTATTATTGATACAACACACACACACATACACACACACATACATACAAAAATACACGCATACACACACACATACATACACCCATACATACACACACATATATATATACACACATACAAACACGCACACATACCCACACACACATACTTACATACATACACATACACAACACACACACACACATATATATATATATATATATATATACTATTATACACACGACACACATATATAACAC